CCATGTACATAACTGCTATGTTAAATTTTGCTTGGTCGCGTTGGTCTTGATTCATTTTTCCAAAACCGTGGATACGGAAAAAAGCTTAGAGACGTGTAAACCACGACTCTATGTTATTGATGGAGTAGCCATGTAACTGAGGCACTTGTACCCGTGCGGCAAAAGTGCTGATGTCAGCGTATTCGTTCGGTGAAGTCTGCGGTTTTGTAGAAGTACCGGCGCTGTTATCCATCGTAGTTTCGTCACTATTTTCGTCGGTATTCGGCATGATGATGCGTTTCTTTGTCTCGAGAACGTTCTAAAAATTTCTAGCGAAAAGCAAAATGTGGATGTGTTTGCACAATTCGCAAAATGGGGGGTACGATTGCTTATGTGTGTGTGTAACACGTAGGNTAGATTTCGAGGATAATCGTTACAATATTGTGGTTGAAAATGCACCCGATAGTTTATAGTCCCGACTATCAATCGATAGTTTAAAAAAAGTGAAACTATCGATAGCGCTATCGATAGTTTGACATTCCTATTTTGCCATTTTTTGTTAAAGGAGAAATTATCCTCTGAAAGTAATATAATTGCAATTTCATCATGACGTCTCGTAAACGTAGCGGCAGTGGTTCGTCCAAAAGGCCCAAAGAAAAAGTAGTTTACATATATGAACTTTTCTTTAGAGGCGAAGATCCCACTAAAGATAGCCTCGAATTTTGGAATGAGTTTTTTCTGCTACAACCCAATGTAGAAGCACTAGAAGCCGAAATAACAAAACTAACTTCTGAACAGTTTGTGATTGTTAAACCAAATGTTAACACATTACTCACTAAAAGTATTGCAATTTTGGAAACAGGTTGGTATTCGAAACTCGAGGGCTCTGTCCCAGTATATTTACTGTTTTAGACATAAATTCAGAATAGCACCGTTACTCGAAAAAAAAATATGGAGATAGAAACCATTGAGGTGAGCATGTTGAATAGGTAATTCTCTAGTATAGGGTAACAACCAAGGCATATTCAACAAGGTAGAAGTGATAATTCAGTCGAGCTCTCTCATACCTGACTGTAATGTCAAAAAACGTAAACAAAGAAATTAACCCTTTGTTATGCATGTACCATATTTGATAAAATTTAATATCTATGAAATGATAGTTTTTGTTTTTTTTTCGCGGAGCATTTGCTTATATGTATATGTTAATGTACTCGTGGATCGTGCTTGTATATAGCAGACTTACTCAGTTTGGGTCTGTGCATCAACAGCTAACTTCGTCCCCACAGACACCTCAGGAACGGCCGACACTTCAGATAACTCAAGCAGTGAGCATTGTATGGTAGAGGTACTGTACCTGGGAACAAACGCGTCCGCTTGGAAATACTCCACTATGATGGGCAACAAATAAAGTCACTGGCACTAAAATGGTGTTCGCACACACGCGAAGAGCCTCCTAATGGAACACCGCAGCTATTTTCCCACCGTTGTCGCTTCACTTGACAATTAGGAGGTTTAAAATAACGCACAAGTTTGTTGTCCTGGCTCTTGCCACACAGAGCGCACCGCTCGTAATTCCTTTTCATTTTATGTTTGTATGTATGTATTTAAAATCAGTCGCACAGCTCAAAATTGAAAATTGAAATTAAAAAATTAAAATTTTGAATTGCATAGGGTTAAGAGTTGACATTACAGTCGCAGTTCAAAAGAGAGAAATGTCGAAATTACTTCTACCTTGTTATGCCTTGGTAACCACCCCTAAAAAAGGTCCGGAAAAGTCGGGAGGGGTTGTTGTTGTTGTTGTTGTAGCGGCTACAACGGTCGGGAGGGGTACCAAACGACGCTTTTCGGTCCCCCTATTAACAATCTGGAGGGCGTGGGCTAATATTATCCATTTAAAAGTTATAAACAAAAAACTTTTGTTAAATTTCGTTGTTTTGTATGGGCAATTACCGGGTACTCTTTATTCATTTGTACAACGATTTTGGGTTGCTGTGCCCATACACGTGAATCGAATCAAAAACCTTTGTCTCTGTGGTGGTGGTGGGTAGAGGGGGTTCTAAAGGGGTTATATGTAAAGTTTTAAAGCGCGGAACCTTATAGTTTTTAAGTAATTTGTTATTTAAGTTTGTAATTTTCACCAACTTGTATGGGACTATATTTACACTCAATATATGCGCAGTAAGAGTATGCACGTTCAAATAAATAAATACTTAAAGTATATTACAGCTTTTTTTTATCAAAAATTGATTGTTTTTTAATTTTATGAGAGTACATGCAGAATATGTGTAAATGGCAGCAGGACTGTGTTGCCATATCTAAAAAAAACCAAGAGTGGAAAGCAAGACAAAACGAAAATACGATAAGGTTATTTTGTTCAGATTAAAATAAACAGTAGGGGGATCAGCGGCTGAACACCTTGCTGCGTAGGTGGCCTTCGGCCGCGCTTAGGGATTATAACCCTCACAACGTAGAATTCTCCTTTCTGTGTTGCCAAAGAAAAGGGGCCGAACACCTTTTGCCTAGAACACCTTTCTGCGATGTAACCTTGGAAAAGGATGAGGTAACTAGAATTCCCTTTCTGTGGTAACCCTGGGGCTAGCGCCCCAGTGATGGCTATTTTGGTTGGCCATAATGAAAGCCAACTGCACCTTTCTGCCTGTGGGTGTTGACTATACACTAGACTGCTAGCTGAAGTATGGACTAGTGGACAGACGGACTTTGTCAGTATTAGGGGGCGTTGCTAGGTAGCCGGAGTCGCAGCAACGACCATGGCTACGCGAAGGTTTCGCGTAGAAGGGGAGGGACGACTCCAACTGACTGGACGGGACTTCTGACTTGATACGTTTTCTTCTTTTCGCTTCTTAGCTTGACTCCTTCCACTTCTTTAAGGCAAGCAGGCATAATCAAAATTTTTTTTGTTGATGTGGGTGTAGGTAAGGCAGGTGGTAAAGAACCCCCCGCCCCCATCTAGACCGGGTTCGCCACCATGCCTGTGCACCACCTGCTCCCACCGGACAGATCACGCATGTAACCAGTGTTGCCAGGTCTTCGGAATGAGAAAACGTGCTTGGTCTGAAAAACGTCATTGAATGTACAAAAAATTATTCTTATTAAACTTTTATTGTATACAAAGGTACATGTGTGCGTATTAAAATGTCATTTTGACAGAGCACATTTAAAATTCATTGTAAACTGGTTTGAGATCGTTAATACATATCGTCGCCNTAAAACGTGCTGGGTCTGAAAAACGTCATTGAATGTACAAAAAATTATTCTTATTAAACTTTNGCTTGGTCTGAAAAACGTCATTGAATGTACAAAAAATTATTCTTATTAAACTTTTATTGTATACAAAGGTACATGTGTGCGTATTAAAATGTCATTTTGACAGAGCACATTTAAAATTCATTGTAAACTGGTTTGAGATCGTTAATACATATCGTCGCCTTAGAGTGTAAACCTGCTAACGACCAAAAAACATATTTTACTGTAGAGGCAAAAAACGAAATATATCTTTAACTCTTAGTCTAAGGGGCAAATCCTACATATAGTTTGTTAATCGCGCGACGTTCTATGGCCCTAATCCAGAACGAATGAAAAGAATAACGTTTTTATGGTTTTATTGGCGAATTTATACCTTAGCAGGTTTTAGTTTTTGTATTTTCAAAATTGAAGTGGATTTAGCAGGTTTTTTGGATGCATTGTTTCTATTTTATTTTTTGTGATTACGAGCTCAATTTAAATGTTAATTAAAATAGTATTCCATAGATAAAAACAATGATATATATATAAGAAAGTACAACAGATTTATTCTTCCGTTTATTGCAACAAAAAAAAGGCAGTTTATAAAACATATATAAGTAACTACACGTGAAGTATTCCTCTCTCAAATTAATAGTACAAATACCACATATAAGATAATTTAAGTAGGAACTCAATAATGCCAGAAAGTATGATACATATTATTCAATCATGAGGTAAATTTTTATAGTAGGCGTGGTAATCTTCAGGAAGTAATCGTTTGAAATACTGGATATCTCATACTTTCTGCGAACAATCGTACGTCTACTCTCGTATAAATTCGGAAGGTGAGAAAACGGCAAGGAAACAGCTACTGGGGATTTTCTTTGCGGTATTACTTCCCATTCGTTGGAGAATCTTAGTTTGAAATGTATGTCGCCACTTGGTGTATACCGTAGGGCTCGTATATCAGTTACTTTAGCAGCATCTTTGCCGCGACCGGGACGAATGCTATTAAAGAATTGAACTGTGTTAAAGCCGTTAAGGAACGTGTAACTAAGATAAGTTGCGTCATATGGTTTTGGATTTTTTCTAGCTGATCTACATACTTCAATGTATTCTGCAGGAACATGGATATCTCTTTTCTTAAGTGCTCGTNCGTTAAGGAACGTGTAACTAAGATAAGTTGCGTCATATGGTTTTGGATTTTTTCTA